TCCTTTTCAATTACAATTTTAAATTTGAAGCTTATTTAAATATTCTCCTTCTATCCAAATCCAAATCAAAGTAAAATAATTTCAAGGTGGATATGCTAGGGGCCTACGATGGAAATTACAATATTACCCAAACAAAAATACGTATGAATTCTAAATTTAACACTATATTTTTATTTTGAATATGAATGTTAATATTAATTTATTTGACTAAAATATATATAAGTTTGTCTTGTTTACCATTTGAGTTGAACCCAAACGACTTTTAATCGAACGAAGTTCGAGCAACTTGGTATTTTATTGCCCTTTTAACTTTATAGAACTGAGTTCGAACTGAACTAAAAAAATTGATGAATTTCAAAATGTGTTCAATTTTAACTTATTTATATAATAAGTCATTCTTCAGTTGTTATTTATTGAGACGAATATCAATCGAGTTCAAATAATTTGATTTTTTTTGCCATATTAACTTAAATAGATATGCCGAGAAATTGAATATTAAATTAAATAAGAAATTATCAATATAAAACATTATCAAGGCACCGTGGTGAATTACTGAAATAAAATTTTCTTTTTTTTCGTTGGTCTAATACTTAGATCTACAACATAATTTTCCTTGTCTAAAAAATAACTAATGAGATTATGGAACACAAATTATTAAAGGCACATAGAAAAATAATGATGAAAGAGAGAAGACAATGTGAAGAGCTGATAACGAAACTTTGCTTAGTTAATAAAGCAAGACAATAAATATTTCAGATGAATATGGAGATATGCAATTATCAATTTGCTTTACATTTCCGCTCATACATGATTAAGCATGCATTCGGAAACTGTTGCAATTATCAATTGTTGCTTATCCATAATTTTGTAACAGTCACTAACCTAAAGTGTTGTAAACTACTTTACAGGTTGCTTTCCCAGTCTTGGAGGTTTTGAAAATTCGCGAATTGCCTAACATAACAGATATATGGGATAAGCAATTACTCATAGCCTCAGAAAAAGAATCAAAGTCCTTCTGCCAACTGAAAGTCATGGATGTTTTTAATTGTGAGAAATTGGTACATGTGGTCCAGTTCAATATGGTCCCACGACTACAAAATCTAAAAATATTCATCGTAAATAATTGTCCAAAGATGGAATCGATAGTTTCAGAGAAAGAAAAAGAAGAAGGAACCACCAATAATGATACCATCATGTTCTCTCAATTAACAACTCTTAATCTTTCTAGGTTGGTGAGCGTTAAAAGTTTCTACAACTGGCCTACAAGATCTGAAGCACAACCCTTGTTCAACCACCAGGTTTGATTTTCCTAATTTATTTTATTAACCCCGGCCATGGGAAAGCGTGCACACAACAAAAATTAAAATTCCTTTTCAATTACAATTCTAAATTTGAAGCTTATTTGAATATTCTTATTCTATCCAAATCCAAATCAATGTAAAATAATTTCAAGGTGGATATGCTAGGGGCCTACAATGGAAATTACAATATTACCCAAACAAAAATACGTATGAATTCTAAATTTAACACTATATTTTTATTTTAAATATGAATGTTAATACGAATTTATTTGACTAAAATACATATAAGTTTGTCTTGTTTACCGTTTGAGCTGAACCCAAACGACTTTTAATCGAACGGAGTTTGAGCAACTTGGTATTTTATTGCCTTTTTAAGTTTATAGAACTGAGTTTGAACTGAACTCAAAAAATCTACAAATTTCAAAATGTGTTGAATTATAACTTATTTATATAATAAGTCATTCTTCAATTGTTATTTATTGATCCGAATATCAATCGAGTTCAAATAATTTGCTTTGTTTTGCCATACTAACGTAACTAGATATGCCGAGAAAATGAATATTAAAGTAAATAAGAAATTGTCAATTTAAAAATTATCAGGGCACCGTGGTGAATTTTTCAAATAAAATTTTCTTTTTTTTCAGAGGTCTAATACTCAAATCTACAACATAATTTTCCTTATCTAAAAAATAACTAATGAGATTATGGAACATAAATTATTAAAGGCACATAGAAAAATAATGATGAATGAGGGAAGACAATGTGAAAAGCTAATAACAAAGAGTTGTTTAGTTAATAATTAAGCAAGGGAATAAATATTTCATATGAATACGGAGATATGAAATTATCAATTTGGTTTTCATTTCCGCTCATAAAATATTTGGCATGCATTTGGAAACTGCTGTAGTTATCAATTGTTGCTTATCCACAATTTTGTAACAGCCACTAACCTAAAGTCTTGTAAACTACTTTACAGGTTGCTTTCCCAGTCTTGGAGGTTTTGAAAATTTGTGAATTGCCCAACATAATAGAGATATGGGACAAGCAATTACTCATAGCCTCAGAAAAAGAATCAAATTCCTTCTGCCAACTGAAAGTCATGGAGGTTTTTAATTGTGAAAAATTGGTACATGTGGCCCAGTTCAATATGCTCCCACAACTGCAAAATCTGAAAATATTCATCGTAAATAATTGTCCAAAGATCGAAGCGATAGTTTCAGAGAAAGAAAAAGAAGAAGGAACCACCAATAATGATATCATCCTATTCTCTCAATTAACGACTCTTAATCTTTCTAGGTTGGTCAGCGTTAAAAGTTTCTACAACTGGCCTACAAGATCTGAAGCATAACCCTTGTTCAACCACAAGGTTTGATTTTCTTAATTTATTTTATTAACCCCGGCCATGGGAAAGCGTGCACACAAAAAAAAATTAAAATTCCTTTTCAATTACAATTTTAAATTTGAAGCTTATTTGAATATTCTCATTCTATCCAAATCCAAATCAATGTAAAATAATTTCAAGGTGGATATGCTAGGGGCCTACAATGGAAATTACAATATTACCAAAAAAAAAATACGTATGAATTCTAAATTTAACACTATATTTTTATTTGAAATATGAATGTTAATACGAATTTATTTGACTTAAATACATATAAGTTTGTCTTGTTTACCATTTGAGCTGAACCCAAATGACTTTTAATCGAACGGAGTTCAAGAAACATGGTATTTTATTGCCCTTTTAACTTTATAGAACTGAGTTCGAACTGAACTCAAAAAATCGACGAATTTCAAAATGTGTTGAATTTTAACTTATTTATATAATAAGTCATTCTTCAATTGTTATTTTTTGAGACGAATATCAATCGAGTTCAAATAATTTGATTTGTTTTGCCGTATTAACTTAAATAGATATGCCGAGAAAATGAATATTAAATTAAATAAGAAATTATCAATATAATAAATTATCAAGGCACCGTGGTGAATTTTTGAAAGAAAATTTTCTTTCTTTTCATTGGTCTAATACTCAGATCTACAATATAATTTTCCTTATCTAAAAAATAACTAATGAGATTATGGAACACAAATTATTAACGGCACATAGAAAAATAGTGATGAAAGAGGGAAGACAATGTGAAGAGCTGATAACAAAAAGGTGCTTAGTTAATAATTAAGCAAGACAATAAATATTTCAGATGAATACGGAGATATGCAATTATCAATTTGCGTTTCATTTCCGCTCATATGTTATTAAGCATGCGTTTGGAAACTGTTGCAAGTATCAATTGTTGCTTATCCACAATTTTGTAACAGTCACTAACCTAAAGTGTTGCAAACTACTTTACAGGTTGCTTTGCCAGTCTTGGAGGTTTTGAAAATTTGGGAATTGCCTAACATAACAGAGATATGGGACAAGCAATTACTCATAGCCTCAGAAAAAGAATCAAAGTCCTTCTGCCAACTGAAAGTCATGGAGGTTTTTAATTGTGAGAAATTGGTACATGTGGTCCAGTTCAATATGCTCCCACGACTGCAAAATCTGAAAATATTCATCGTAAATAATTGTCCACAGATGGAATCGATAGTTTCAGAGAAAAAAAAAGAAGAAGGAACCACCAATAATGATATCATCCTGTTCTCTCAATTAACAACTCTTAATCTTTCTAGGTTGGTGAGCGTTAAAAGTTTCTACAACTGGCCTACAAGATCTGAATCACAACCCTTGTTCAACCACCAGGTTTGATTTTCCTAATTTATTTTATTAACCCCGGCCATGGGAAAGCGTGCACACAGAAAAAAAAAATCCTTTTCAATTACAATTTTAAATTTGAAACTTATTTCAATATTCTCTTTCTATCCAAATCCAAATCAATGTAAAATAATTTCAAGGTGGATATGCTAGGGGCCTACGATGGAAATTACAATATTACCCAAACAAAAATACGTTTAAATTCTAAATTTAAAACTATATTTTTATTTTGAATATGATTGTTAATATGATTTTATTTGACTAAAATATATATAAGTTTGCCTTGTTTACCAATTGAGCCGAACCCAAACGACTTTTAATCGAACGGAGCTCGAGCAACTTGGTATTTTATTGCCTTTTTAAGTTTATAGAACTGAGTTCGAACTGAAATAAAAAAATCGACGAATTTCAAAACGTGTTGAACTTTAACTTATTTATATAATAAGTCACTCTTCAATTTTTTTTTTATTGAGCCGAATATCAATTGAGTTCAAATAATTTGATTTGTTTTGCCATATTAACTTAAATAGATACGCCGAGAAAATGAATATTAAATTAAATAAGAAATTATCAATATAAAAAATTATCAAGGCACCGTGGTGAATTTTTCAAATAAAATTTTCTTTTTTTTCATAGGACTAATACTCAAATCTACAACATAATTATCCTTATCTAAAAAATAACTAATGAGATTATGGAATACAAATTATTAAAGGCACATAGAAAAATATTGATGAAAGAGGACAATGTGAAGAGCTGATAACAAAAAGGTGCTTAGTTAATAATTAAGCAAGACAATAAATATTTCAGATGAATACGGAGATATGCAATTATCAATTTGCTTTTCATTTCCGCTCATACATGATTAAGCATGCATTTGGAAACTGTTGCAATTATCAATTGTAAGGCACATAGAAAAATAATGATGAAAGAGGGAAGACAATGTGAAGAGCTGATAACAAAAAGGTGCTTAGTTAATAATTAAGCAAGACAATTAATATTTCAGATGAATACGGAGATATGCAATTATCAATTTGCTTTTCATTTCCGCTCATACATGATTAAGCATGCATTTGGAAACTGTTGCAATTATCAATTGTTGCTTATCCACAATTTAGTAACAGTCACTAACCTAAAGTGTTGTAAACTACTTTACAGGTTGCTTTCCCAGTCTTGGAGGTTTTGAAAATTTGTGAATTGCACAACATAATTGAGATATGGGACAAGCAATTACTCATAGCCTCAGAAAAAGAATCAAAGTCCTTCTGCCAACTGAAAGTCATGGAGGTTTTTAATTGTGAGAAATTGGTACATGTGGTCCAATTCAATATGCACCCACGACTGCAAAATCTGAAAATATTCATCGTAGATAATTGTCCAAAGATGGAAGCGATAGTTTCGGAGAAAGAAATAGAAGAAGGAACCACCAGTAACGATATCATCTTGTTCTCTCAATTAACAACTCTTAATCTTTCTAGGTTGGTGAGCGTTAAAAGTTTCTACAGCTGGTCTACAAGATTTGAAGCACAACCCTTGTTCAACCACCAGGTTAGATTTTCCTAATTTATTTTATTAACCCCGGCAACGGGAAAGCATGCACAAAAAAAAAAAATTAAAATTCCTTTTCAATTACAATTTTAAATTTGAAGCTTATTTGAATATTCTCTTTCTATCCAAATCCAAATCAATGTAAAATAATTTCAAGGTGGATATGCTAGGGCCCTACGATGGAAATTGCAATATTACCCAAATAAAAATACGTATGAATTCTAAATTTAACACTATATTTTTATGTTGAATATGAATGTTAATATGATTTTATTTGACTAAAATATATATAGGTTTGTCTTGTTTACCATTTGAGCTGAACCCAAATGACTTTTAATTGAACGGAGTTCAAGCAACTTGGTATTTTATTGCCCTTTTAAGTTTGTAGAACTGAGTTCGAACTAAACTCAAAAAATCGACGAATTTCAAATTGTGTTGAATTTTAACTTATTTATATAATAAGTCACTCTTCAATTGTTATTTATTGAGACGAATATCAATGGAGTTCAAATAATTTGATTTGTTTTTCCATATTAACTTAAATAGATGTGCCGACAAAATGAATACTAAATTAAATAAGAAATTATCAATATAAAAAATTATCAAGGCGCCGTGGTGAATATTTGATATAAAATTTTCTTTTTTTTCATAGGTCTAATACTCAGATCTACAATATAATTTTTCTTATCTAAAAAATAACTAATGAGATTATGGAACACAAATTATTAAAGGCACATAGAAAAATAATGATGAAAGAAGGAAGACAATGTGAAGAGCTGTTAACAAAAAGGTGGTTAATTAATAATTAAGCAAGACAATAAATATTTCAGATCAATACGGAGATATGCAATTATCGATTTGCTTTTCATTTCCGCTCACACATTATTAAGCATGCATTTGGAAACTGTTGCAATTTTCAATTGTTGCTTATCCACAAATTTGTAACAGTCACTAACCTAAAGTGGTGTAAACTTCTTTACAGGTTGCTTTCCCAGTCTTGGAGGTTTTGAAAATTTGTGAATTGCCTAACATAATAGAGATATGGGACAAGCAATTACTCATAGCCTCAGAAAAAGAATCAAAGTCCTTCTGCCAACTGAAAGTCATGGAGTTTTTCAATTGTGAGAAATTGGTACATGTGGTCCAGTTCAATATGCTCCCACAACTGCAAAATCTGAAAATATTCATTGTAGATAATTGTCCAAAGATGGAAGCGATAGTTTCAGAGAAAGAAAAAGAAGAAGGATCCACCAGTAATGATATCATCGTGTTCTCTCAATTAACAACTCTTAATCTTTCTCGGTTGGTGAGCGTTAAAAGTTTCTACAACTGGCCTACAAGATCTGAAGCACCACCCTTGTTCAACCACCAGGTTTGATTTTCCTAATTTATTTTATTAACCCCGGCCATGGGAAAGCGTGCACACAAAAACAATTAAAATTCCTTTTCAATTACAATTTTAAATTTGAAGCTTATTTGAATATTCTCTTTCTATCCATATCCAAATCAATGTAAAATAATTTCAAGGTGGATATGCTAGGGGCCTACGATGGAAATTACAATATTACCCAAACAAAAATACGTATGAATTCTAAATTTAACACTATATTTTTATTTTGAATATGAATGTTTATATGATTTTATTTGACTAAAATATGTATAGGTTTTTCTTGTTTGCCATTTGAGCTAAACCCAAACAACTTTTAATCGAACGGAGTTCGAGCTGCGTGGTATTTTATTGCCCTTTTAAGTTTATAGAACTGAGTTTGAACTGAACTCAAAAAATCGACAAATTTCAAAATGTGTTGAATTTTAACTTACTTATATAATAGGTCGTTCTTCAATTGTTATTTATTGAGACGAATATCAATCGAGTTTAACTAATTTGATCTGTTTTTCCATATTAACTTAAATAGATATGTGAAGAAAATGAATATTAAATTAAATAAGAAATTATCAATATAAAAAATTATCAAGGTGTAGACGTCCTCGAACATCCCGGGAGGGAATCCTATTTTGTTCATCGGGCTCACTACAGTTCAGACTCAAATGTCACGGTTCTGAATCTAATCCCGCAAAATGTAATGCGAGACCGATAAATTACCAAAGAGTCCAATTCGGCAAATCGTTTTGAAAACAGATTTTTTTGAAAGAAGTGCCAAACATGGACTGCTTTTCCAGATACAGAGTCGCAACCTAAATATTTTGTTTTGGGGAATGTAGGAAACCCTGACTCGTTGCCTAAGGCCACGTGTCCGTCATCACCAAAGTTGCCTCGGCTCGGAAACTTGTGTACAATTGGGAAAGGTCACTTCGTGAGCACCTGTAACGCCCTCAAAAAATAACATAAAACCCATCAATATAGACATGCATTGATATATAAAAGCTCCACATTCTTCTATTCATCAGAGTTCCATTACCAAAAAGTATTACATGTTAACGACAAAAGCAAATGCCCTAAAGGCTTACAGCTTTCCAAGTTAACACTTGGTTACAACAAAAGAGTGCTAACTCATTTACACATTAAGCCCTTGGCTTGAATATACATGTAATACATCAAAGAAACTAAACAACAAAAGTCTGCCCGTCTCTAGCCTCCCAAGCTACGTCCTTGGAGGTGGCATGCTACCTGTACCTGAAAATGATATTCCCATATAGGGTGAGCCACAGCCCAGCAGAAATACACTAAACCACATATGAACAATGACTAAAAGATTAGCAGTTGATAGATGGCCAACACTGATACTTTCCCTTATCACACCTTACGATTTCATGACATACAAGTCCATGTTACAATCCATTTTCCAATTCTTTTCAATTCTCAATTTATAACCATGGCTCAGAACCTGGCCAAACAACTTATATAAGACAGTAACTCATATTAAACTTCTTCCCAATTCATATTAGATAAGCGTACTTGCTATATCAATACATCAACAGATAAGCATACAAGCTATATCATCACTTCCATAGATATGCATAAGAGCACTATCACACTTCCAAAGACAAGCATATGAGCTATGTCAACACATTACTAGATAAGCATATGAGCTCTATCTATGGAGTCCATCCCCTATCTTCTCCCAACAACATCCGGTTTAGAGGTAACAATAATTATACACATCATCACACAACACATAAATTTAATGTATTCTTTCAACCGTCATACTCAATGACACATTCTAGT